TGATGACTTGTTTGATCAGCTTTCTGGTTCTTCTGTATTTTTAAAGATTGATTTGAGATCTGAATATTATCAGGTGAAGGTGAAGGAAGCTGATGTGTTGAAGACAGCTTTCAGTACTCGGTATGAACACTACGAGTTTTTGGTTATGCCTTTTGGGGTAACCGACGCACCAGCTATTTTCATGGATCTGATGAACAGAGTGTTCAAGGAGTATCTGGATCAGTTTGTGATCGTCTTCATCGACGATATTCTGGTGTATTCTGCTTTTGAGGAAAATCATGCTAGATACTTGAGCATTGTGTTGGAGACTTTGAGGCAGCATCAGCTATATGCTAAGTTCTCCAAGTGCGAATTTTGGTTGAAGAGCATTTCTTTTCTGGGGCATGTGGTGAGCGGTGAAGGTATCTCTGTTGACCCCCAGAAGATTCAAGCTGTCGCTAATTGGTCAAGGCCTACTACGGTATTTGAGGTACGTAGTTTCTTGGGCATGGCCGGATATTATAGAAAATTTGTGAAGGGATTTTCTCATATTTCTACGCCTATGACGAGACTGACTCAGAAGTCAGTAGCTTTTGTTTGGACTTCAGAGTGTGAGGTTAGTTTTCAGAAGTTGAAGGATTGTTTGACGTCTGCTCCAGTGTTAGCACTTCCGTCAGGTACGGAAGGATTTCAGGTGTTCAGTGATGCGTCACTGAAAGGTTTGGGCTGTGTTCTGATGCAGCATGGTAGGGTAATAGCTTATGCTTCGAGATAGTTGAAACCACATGAAAAGAATTACCCGACGCATGATTTAGAATTGGCTGCAGTTATTTTTGCTTTGAAGATATGTCGTCACTATTTGTATGGCGTCAGATGTGAGATCTTTACGGATCATAAGAGCTTAAAGTACATATTCACTCAGAAGGATCTGAATTTGAGGTAAAGAATGTGGCTTGAGTTGATCAAGAATTATGATCTGTCTATTCAGTATCAGCCTGGTAAGGCTAATGTGGTAGCAGATGTTTTGAGTAGGAAGTCTTCTGGATTATCAGGTATTCAGCTCACTTCTGATGATTATCTGATACGAGATATGGAGAGATTACAGTTAGAGGTAGGGGTGTCAATTTCGGGTTACGGGTCAGGTTCGGGTCGAACCCGAACTGACCCGGGTGCAAACGAGTCGACCCTAACCCGACCCGGGTAGAGAAACGGGTCGAAAATTCGAACCCGGACCCGACCCGGCGGGTTGCCGGGTTGACCCGACCCGCGCGGCTGAGAAGAGCTCGGTTTCGCGGTAGCGGGCGGCAGCGGCGCAAGACGCGGCAGCGGGCGGAAGCGCGCGGGCA